ACCTAAACTGGACGGCAGGTCCGACGGTCACTATTGACACAGTGAGCGGAAAGTGTTGGCAGAAGAATTGACAAAGTCGGATTTTATTGTGATGGCAGGTGAAGTAGACTAGAGGTGTGACCTGGCCTTATTTGCTCTGGTCAGGATAAATTGAACCAGGAGATCCTAGCGTGGGAATTCAAACAATTGTTGTACAGTCACTGACTGACAGCGAATAAACACCCACAGGGAGGAGCTGTGGCATCCCGTGAATGAGAATGATTTTAGGCGTAATGTAGGAGGAGCTTGATAAAAGTTATAAAGGGGTGAACGCTAGGTCTGGTAAATGAGATCCTGTCTAGCACATGCCATCTGTTGGGCTTAACCTAAGCTTGAGACAGAACTTTTGGCATCGTGGTTTCATTTTTCCAGGTAAGATCGAAATTAGGTTCACATCTATATTTTATGATAGAGATCTGTCTTTTTGCTCAAGTGTGTGTCTTCATCACTTTGTAGTACTCCTAGGCGGACATTTCTTCATTCTCGTAGGGCACTGTCACATTGCTTTATTTCCTATTTGATAGTGTCATGAATGTTTTTCGGGCACATGTGTTTCAATGTTGTAAAACCTAAATGTTGTTGTTGCCATTGAAATTTAATGAACTATCATGTTTTTGAAATCACAAGCGTGAAGATAACTTTGGCAATCTTTTCACGTGTGGTTAATGTGAATCTGTATTACATACAGCTAACACACTGAAATGTGTTTAACTCTCGGGAGGCTAATGCGGAGATTGATCCCGGAGAGTAAATCCACGAGATTTGTTATTTGATTCGCCCCAGAACTATTGTTAGCTTTCTGGGCGCGTCGATTGTTCCAAGCATAGATTCCAGAACTGGTTCTGTCTGACTGATTGTCATTTTGAGTCTGTACGAGAGATGGCACCTGACGTAGAAGACTTGACTATCATTACAGGACGTGTAGAGGAAGGCAGAAGATGTAACAGTTGGAATGTGAGACATAAGCCCTTCCAAATTGGACAGGAGTGAATGTGAGCATGAGGGAGAGATGAAATGTTTTATTTAAATAAACATGCTTGATGTTAGTATAATATACATGCTTAGTGTACATCTAGAGCAGATACTACAAATATGCGCTTGTTTCTTCATTCTCCAGTTCCCACATTGGGCAGGGACTAGTAGGCATCCATTATTTGCCGACCGTCGAGTGTAACGACCTGCAGAAAGCAGTGAGGACGACAAACTGGAAAAGATAGGCAGGGTCTCAAGCCGAGAACTGTCCTGATGAGCTAAGTTATGTACAACTTTAATGTCATCTATAACATCATCCCAACTCTACTAGCCTAAACAAGTTCATTTTATTTTAGTCAGATTTATTAAATAAATCTTTTTGATGTTTAAACAGAGTTAAGTAAATTGTGTACTTAGGTTCAAGTGTCTTTGTGCATATTAGTTTACTTCAGCTAACAAATATTTAAATCACTTGATGGGGGCTTTTAAGTAATGCCAGGAAAGGAGACCAGTCGCAGGGGTTAAATGAGCACCTGGATTATATCGCAGTGGGTGTATCCAGTAGGGGCGTCAACGTCACGACGAGTCTACTGTGCAGGGTTTAGTTGATTCACCTCTTGACATAAGCTTAGCTTCGGGTTTGACAAAAATCCCATTGGCAACCCTCCCATGCTTGGCTGTCCGCGTGTGGCTGCTATAGATCTATTTCTTACATTCAATGCTGGGTGGACATGGGAGCCAAGGTCATTTTTGAAAGAAAAGTAAATCCGACCTGACCTGATTCCCAGAAATGAACACACCTGCTGTGTTTGCCCTGTTGTTAACACTGTCACCGACCTATTATGAAAACGGCGTGTACTACCAGTGGGCTCATGTTTTCTTCTACCATATAGAACGGAGAGTTGGGGGAGGGGCAGTAGAAGATTGAGAGAAAGTTGAGAAAGAGAGGGAGCAGGAGGAGGAAAGAGGAATTTAAAAAAAAGAGAGACTAAGAAAAGAAAGTCGACACTGAGACATGGGGAAAAAGGGGAAAAAGAAAGGAAAGGAAAAAGAAAGAAAGAAGAGGAGAGATACCAGGGAAAGAAGGTAGCAGGAAGGGGGTGCGGCCATTCCGGTATCATCACTGTGGGGGGTGGGGGTGGGGGGGGGGTGGGGAACAACCACCCCAGGTGTCATTACTGTGCGGAGATAGACCACCCCGGGTGACATCGTTGTTGCAAAAAAAAAAGGGGGGGGGGGGGGGGGGTTTCCGGTATTTGTTAATTAGGTCACGTCAACTGACATTGGCACATTTATATGATCTTTATTTTCGCCTTACCAGGACACACAATATGATATGTTTTAAGCCAGGCTCGCTGGCAGACAACTGTAAATGTATAAAGTTTTAGATGAAAAAAAAATCAGCCTGCAGACATTTTCTATGTTAAATAGGCGCATATCGTAGTGTATGTAATTGAGACATGCATAAACGGTTAGGTCTCACTGTCCCGATTCTAGCAATATATAGTTGCTAAGGGATTCGTTCAAAAACAAAAAAGTTATGGCCGTAAAATGCAAATATTGAGTCATTTCATCTCACTGGGTCGCAGCCGGAAGCCATGTTTCATGTATTTCCATTACAATTTTTCTGTCGTGGTGGTGTCCGCCACTAAAATGTTAATATCTCTGCTTAGAATCGACTTACAGGCTTAAATGATGTACCATTGGATTTGTAATTTTAATTTACATCTAGCTGTTACAATTACGTAAGTAAAAACACAAAACATAAAACTTCACTACCATCCCTACTATTATCCAACCCCAAATATCCCTTCGTATTGAGGGCATCAGAGGTTTATCTGAGCAAAACAGTTTCTGGCTGCCTCACTTCACAAAGCCGACTGACGGGGGTCTTCTTCTTACTACTACTACTGCTGCTGCTGCTACTACTACTACTGCTGCTGCTACTACTACTACTGCTGCTGCTGCTACTACTACTTCTTCTTCCTCCTCCTCCTCCTCCTCCTCGTGTTCACCGGCTGTAAATTCAGGGGGAATATTCTAGTTGTTCGTCCACTTATGGACTTTATCTTGTTCCAGAACTTGAGTTTTGCATGCCATCCGTTTTACAGATCTGGAATATTTGTATGCAGACTGTTGACTTCTCGCCTCTCGGACAGATGCACTCCGACTTTAAAGGAAACACTCATAATTAATCGTCTTTTATGACAAGCTTGTTGAGAAACAGTGGGCCTATTCCCCCACCCGCCCTCCAGTGTTGCCACTTTGGATGTTTTAAATCCAGATTTAGATGTTTGCCCTTGCATTTAGATGAATTAATCAAGTAACAATAAGTATTGTTTGACGTTTAGATGGTAGATGTTTACTAGAAGTTTTTCATTTGGAGTGAATTTATCAAATCTAAACTAAGAAACAGGATAAAATTTGACCTCTTAAATGTTATCTTGACAATAAAATTCGACCTGATAAGAGTAGGAAAAGGCTGTTCCACTTATCAGCTCCCTGATTGGGTATTAAAATAAATTGGAACAGCTAAAGCATACCAGAGTCATTATGGATCTGAAGCTTCAACTTCATCATCCAAGCTAAGTTTATCCTGTGGATCTTGTAAGGCAGACTTCAGTAAAAATGAGGACATGTTTTTTCTAGATGTTTTCTACGCAAATTCAGATATTTTTAGATATTTTTTGACTCTGTTTTGGATGTTTTTTTGTTAAAGAAAAGTGGCAACACTGCCGCCCTCTTTCAAAGCAGCCCCGGAACCAACACGGGGAGGGCTGAAGGTCTGCCACCCTGAGATTAAATCAACAGTCTGGATGGCAGACCACCAGGGCAAATCCCGGACACTCCCTTAAACACCTAGCCCTGGTCACATTATATAATTAGTTCACCCGCAATGGCTTTCTCAGGCGAAACCCGAGTTCCAGTTGCAGAGTGGTGCGTAAAAAGGAGGGAAATCTAGTATTGCCCTCCCCTATGCGCCTACATTTATGGTCAGCTGCTCAGTTCAGAATTAGCTTCATGTATCTAGAAAGTTCTTATGGTTTATAAACTTGCAACATATTACCTCTGCGAGTTTTATTGCCTGTCCGCGATATTCTAACCATAATTTTATTTTTAAAGTCTTCTTTGCTCCAGTTTCTCCATCATTCGTTGGTTCAGTACGTTCTGCCAATGTATATATACCACTGTTGTCGTTTTACTCCACTGCGGTTGTATACTATTTCAGCAATTTTCTATCAACCAACACTCAGGGAAGGGGCGAAGACATGTCTCTTGTACCATCGGAATTGGAACTATGCGCTGGCTGCTTGAGATAAGGACTGCGCGTTTATGGGAACGTCCTCAGTGCAATGATGGTTCTCAACTCATACCTTTTTTCGTTTTATTTCTGCCATGTTCAATTCTACCTATGTGGTTGTCTTTGCCTTTAATAAGTGTCTTTACTAATTTCCTTTAAAATCCAAATGGAAATCCATTTAAACACCTTTAAGCCACTTGGTGAAATTTGAAACTCATTACAAATCATACTTGCTCATCATTTTAAATATATTTAATGATACACTAGAATAATATATATTTAGAAATAAACCACATTAAAGAAATATTTAGTTAATTAAAGAACATTATTTGATTTCGAAACTCCATTTTAACTACCGCACAAGATACATATTTATACGCACAAGGTGCTATTTCTAGACGGGATTTTCGGAAGAAATATTTTGCAGATGCCATAATTCTCTAGTTTAAATAATCACTTATATTAATTATTACACATAATGTAGAATATTAATGATTTTATGTGGAGAAAAACGACATTTTAGGTGACTGTTTATGTGAGTGTAGACAAGTTGGCAGTAGTGCGGCTAATGTTTTGGTTTGTCGCAGCTGAGTGGTGGACATGACGTCAGTCCTGACATAAACCAAGGCCATTGTTGTTATCTAGGAGCTCGGCACGGAACAAAGAAAACTGGTAGATTCTAGGGAAGATGGGCAATTGCTTTAAGTCGACCAGTAATGATGATATATCTTTGTTGCGAGGTAGCGATCATCACGATTCTTCTCTAGAACCAATGCCGTTTGTGGAGCCTCCGCCTCCGTATCGAGCTCAGGTTAGTGGAGTCGATGGTTGGTCGATGAAATTGAAAATTATTAATATAAGGAAAACTTCTAGAAACTTATACCTATGCCTATACTGATCACTCGCTATGATAATAGTTATTATCTGCATAACTGTTTGTCATAACACAGTAACTTGTTTCTAAAATAAAACGTTAAATGGCGGTACATTTGCTGGCTTTAAATACTCAGTATATTATTATATACTATACTATCAATATAATATAGACCAGTTGAGACGTGAGTCTCAAACTTCAGGATTCATTGAATCCGGCTTGACTGACTAAATGTTATTGACAATGGTCAATGGGATAGTTATTATATAAACACTACGAACGGGAAGGCTAACCCTGTCAACAAATGCCCGCAGAAGTCGGATTTGTTGGCCGAAAGGTGCAAATATCGCAGCCATGCTGTAAACTGACACAACGCAAATACATCTTCGGATGATCGCAGAAGAAGAAGATATCACCACCACTACTGCCACTGTACCTACTTCTGCATCTGCAACAAAAGCGACTACTCCTACTACCACCACCACTACTATACAGCTGTCACTACAGTTTTCAAGGCTCTCCTCCAAATTTCTACCCTGGCATTATGGTGGCCAAACAAATATCCTTACAGGGCCTCAGTCCTATTAAAAATATGCGCACTTCCGGCGAGGAACAAATCGCGGCAAAACTAGGATTACCTGTTAATTTCAAGAGACGCAACACTTCAGATGATAGTAGCAGACGATAATAGCGACCGTTGACACTTTAGAGCGTTTCTGCATGCGATACTAGCAGACGATACTAGCGACCATTGACAATTTCGAGACACGCAACATTACAGACGATAAAAGCGACATGGTGGTTAGACCACACGCTCTGACGTAGATTAGCGTCATTGTTGTCCTCAAACTTTTCGGCATGCGCAAAAACGCGGTTATCACCCGCGCTACACGTAGCGGCGAGGATGGGAGCTAAACTAGATGCCTGGGACTCCCGAGCAAATAAATTGGAGGAAGTTGCAGGAGATGCCGTAAGGATAACACCTTTTCCAAAGTGGTATTTTTCAGATTGCAAGCAGTCAGTCAAGATGTCCTTTATGGCTCTCTTCACGCCTGAAAGTCTCTCTTTCTTTAGCCAGTTCTCCAGCCGTGTGTGCTTTCATAGTCAATGCATCTTCAGTGTCATGTATCTATCTTTGCGGAGGTTGGCCTATGTCTCATTCTCCGGAAACTGCATCCTTCATCATCGTTCTCTCTAGACCACCATGGCACTGGAGTGTATGCTGTTCTTTTTCATAGTAAAAAGTGTTTCTCGAAAAAAAAAAAAAAATCAGCAAAACTTAAGCGCATACGCTGTTGAAATTATACGATATATAAAATAACAAAGGCTAAGGTGAGAAACAATAAAATGTAAAAAAAAAATAATTGTAGCGGCAGCTTTGGATTTTAGTAGAAAACAACAAGCAGAATGGTTTGACCATAAAACACGGATGCCAATAAACTGTATACCACAGCAAGCAGTGATGTACAGACCAGGCAGGAAGTGAAGCAGAGGCCGACCATGCAAGCTGTGGACAGAGGGAAGCACAGAGTTCCTAGGAATCCCCATTTACGATACCTAAAAAAACAGGCATAAAAGGGTCCAGATGAGATGAGATACAATAACAAACATATACTCCGGTGACTATAGATCCCATTTATAACCCGGAGGGTTGAACAGGATATATTTGAAAAAAATTACTACTTCTATTACTGAATAATTCAACATTATTTGGGACTGAAACATTTTGCGTCTGTTGCTACCACTTTTATTGGCAGCAGAGATGTGGGTTTGCCATTGCTTCTGAATGGTCAGCACTTGATAATACTGCTTGCAGAAGGTTGAACATGGCCGGTGACTATAGATCCCATTTATAACCCGGAGGGTTGAACAGGATATATTTGAAAAAAATTACTACTTCTATTACTGAATAATTCAAAATTATTTGGTACTGAAACATTTTGCGTCTGTTGCTACCACTTTTATTGGCAGCAGAGATGTGGGTTTGCCATTGCTTCTGAATGGTCAGCACTTGATAATACTGCTTGCAGAAGGTTGAACATGGCCGTTTTGTTGTAATTTTTTTTTAAAATGGACTTGTGCATTAATCACCATTATATTGCATCTCTGGATCAGCCTTGTCTAGGGCACTACATATAACCTGGAAAACAAAGATGACTACACAACAATGAGACTGCAGGAAGGCTAACCCTGTCAACAAATGCCAGTAGAAGTTGGGTGTGTTGGCCAAAATATGCAGATATCACAGCCATGCTGTAAATGACACAACACCATTACGTCTTCAGATGAATGCAGAAAAAAAAGGATGAGGAAGTCTATGAGAGAAATAAAGTTGACCTCTAATGCCATATAGGACACATTTGAAGGAAGTCATATAAGACTGGTCAAAATGAGATGAGATAAATTAACAAATATATACTCTGGTGACTCCGTACATCCCATTTATACCCTCAGGGTTGAACAAGATATATTTGGGAAAAAAAATGACTACTTCTACTATTTAATTTAACACTATCTGGGACTGAAAAAGTTAACGTCTATTGCTACCACTTTTACTGGCAGCAGAGACGTGAGTTTGAGGAAAATGCAAAGAATATCATGGAATAATATAGAAAAAAAGACAGTCCTCCTCAAGACAGATTTTAGAACAGTTAGACGACAGACAGTATTTTTCAGACATGTTATGAAAAAGGATGTCCCAGTGTGAGCTCTTCAGCCCCAGTATTTTCTTTTTATTACAGAGGGGGAACCCACTGTCCCCAACAATCATGATATAAGACAGGTCTAATTAGGAGTGTTTCCTTTAAGTCAGAGTACATCTGCCTGAGAGGCAAGGAATCAATACTCAGCTTACAAAATGAGCCACATCTGTAAATTAGATGTGCACACAACACTCAAGCCTAAGGTCCAGGCATGGATGAAAACCAGAACTTTCAGGAGTTTACAGCTGGCGAACACAAAAACTAAACTAAAGATGAAGAAGAAAACGTGGGCTCTAGATCTTATTAACAACCGGAAAGCTTGATGGAAAGAGAGCGAGGTTAAAAAAACAAACAGGTAAATGCCTGAATGACTTATGGTTGGAGTGAGGCAAGAACGCTGACCTGATCATTTATTCTGGTGATCCCCCAAGATGGCAAAACATGATAGCCTGTGCTTATTTGCATGGCACATAATGATGATGATGCCACCACTACTATTACTGGCTCTGCTACAACTGTATTGCTACCACAACTACTATACAGTTATTCACATAAACAGAGGGCAACCCATGAAGCCATAGAAATATATAATAAACAAACAGACTGTGTATTGATCGGCACTCCTAGAAAGAAGTATAAAGATAGAAGGGCACACTAGACAACATAAAAATCTAAAACTATAATGACATTGCTGAGCTTTTAATTTTTAAATTGTCAAGTGTGTTCTAATTCTTTCTATGAGTGCAGATCAATACATTGTCTTTTATTTATTTTATATATATATATATATATATATATATATATATATATATATATATATATATATGTGTGTGTGTGTATATATATATATATATGTATATATATATATATATATATATATATATATATATATATATATATATATATATATATATATATATATATATATATATATATCATATGCAGTGACTACCACAGAGCTACAACTATGGACCACCGAATGAACTAACAATGACAATGAAATTTATACGAGAGACAAAATTGCTGATATAGACAACTTATTTCAGGCAAATAAAAGAATAAGAAGAAGAAATACTAGTGTCGCTAAAGTAATGGACATGAATCATGCCACTGACATGTCAGGCATATTATGTGAGACTCATTTGTATAGACCTATTGGCACTCATGGGGTTATCTGATGAACATCATGCCAGCCGCCTTTGTTTACTAGGACATGGTAAAAATGTTACGCTGGGTTAACCTGGTAGTCAGGGTCAGTTATAAACATATTTCCTGGCATGGGTTTGAACCCAAACCTTTTTGCTGGCAGATAGGTTACGAGTGCTACTATATCTATTGTTGCTGCAGCTGCTTTTACTCTTATTGCTTCTTTGGGAAGTAAAAGCACCAAGGTGTTTGTCATTTACCAGAGGCATCATAGTGCCTGATTCTCCATGTGTAATAAATAAAATTAAAAATAGGAATTTGTGGCAGGAATGGATCCCTAAGCATTAACACTTCTTATTATTCTCTAAAGACAACACTCATAGATAAAGGGAAAAAGAAGACCACACAAATATGGCAACGTCATGTCCACGAAACTATCCAATAAGGCTGACCCGGGGAACAAATGTCAGATGTGTCAGCTGATAGGCGCACATATCGCAGCTATGCCGTGAACAGATACAGCACAGTTATGTCAGTCAGATGAACAAGAAAGAAAAAAGAATAAGAAGCTTACAGTCTGAATTTATGAAATTATGTCCAGGGGTACACCTCTTAGAAAACTTAACCGCAACTTCCATCGACGGAGATGCACCTACATATTCACATATACACACATAAAAGTAAGTAAAAAAAAGGAAAGGTCCTTTTTGCACGCCTTTAGGCGTATAGGGCATATATGGCTAGACCTATAATTGTATAGACCAATCGGCACAAGATGGGGGGTGTGGTGGGCATCATGCCAGCCGCCTTTACTTCCCGGGACTGCACTTGGTACCCACTCAAGGCTGGGTCCACCTGGGATCAAGGTCATTTTTGAAAAAAAAGTCCTGCTCCGCCAGGGAGCGACCCCACGATTAACATGTATACGTATTAATAAATGTTAGATGACAGTTATTAAAATCATATCTTGGGAAAATTGCAGCCAGAACCACAGCAGCGCATGCCAATCTACCATCCTTCACCAGGGGTTAGTAGGCCAGCCAATCAGCTGTCTGAAGAAGAGCAGATTAAAATTGCCCAGAGGTTGGGTCTTATTAATCACCTTCCTACAGGCAAATATGATGGCACCAATAAAAAAGCAAAAGAGTAAGTATCTCACATTATAATATGTGTTGTAACAAATCTTTACTGCATGTTTTACCACTTTTAATGTGATGTGGAGGGAAGGGGTATGAGCCTGAAGATTTAAGACTGCATGGCTAGCACAGTCACCATGAACTGTGCAGATTATGATTTTTATCTTTGCTGTCTACAGAAAAAAAAAACTTACCTTACCGAGCATCAAACCCGTGTGGTCCACATGAGGAACTCAACACTGTACCTGATAACAGAATTACTAAAATGTCCTTGCAACCAACATATACTTTAGCCATTAGCTGTTTTCAGTCTTGGGTGTCACTTTATCTCATTACAAACAGTAATCCAAGTTTAAGTCAGTAGTAGTAGTATGTCTCTTTGAGTCCCACAGAACTATATATTTGTTCTGCAGCTCAGACGCCTAATAGTGCCGCTAGTGACTATATAGTCCAGTACGAGAGTGACAGTCTCTGTCACAGTTTCTACATTCATGAGATAAGACAGGTCATACATCGAGGGATTTCATTTTATGCCTATGCTCTTTGTCTTCATTCGTTGAATCTATTTGTGCTTAGAGAGCACAAGTCTATTTTGCACATGTCTTCTCCAGGAATATCTGCCAGCTTTCTCCCATTTTTCTGTATCTGTGGCAAGGATTTTTCTATCCTTGTTACAATATCTTATCCTTACATCGCATTTGGAGTCTTCTGGTTGACCTTTCCGCAGAGATGTTTGGGTCAAAAGGGGTTTAAATAACACTATAGGACAATAAGAATTAAATTGGCCTGACATTGCCTTTGTGTTAACCATATGTATGGATTCCTCCCCCACACACATACAAATGATTTCTAGTGACAGCTTTTATTGAGTTTGCTCTCTAGGTAGTTTGGGGTCGCCTGCTGATGATATTTTGTCTTCAGGGATAGTGGACCGCTGTGGTCAAAACAGTGCAAACACAGTGTGTTTGAGGCTGTTGAATCTATCGGTTGTCATCCTGCTTCGACACAGCATAACCGCAGTATACACATCTCCCACAGAGAACATAAATCTTCTGCTGTAAGTTCGCACAATAGCAATCCATGACAAGGGAACAGAACAGTCTGAAAGAGATTAGAATTAAAGTAAAAATTTGGATAACATCTCAGTGTAAAAAGAGTGTTTAAGAAAGAATTATGTAATAAGTAACCAGTCTCAGTGTGGGTTCAAAAACTATGTTTTGGGTAGAAACAAGAATGAACACCCTGCCCATGTAACAAACATGTTGTGAAAGGCATCTAGTTAGGAGTGTTTCCTTGGAAGTTGGTGTACATGTGTCTGAGAGATGAGGAACTCACTTTATGCATACAGATAAGTCAGATCTGTTAAATAGATGTTCACACAAAACTCAAGTTCTGGAACAGGACTAAATGTGTCTGTTCTTTAACCCCTTAAAATGGGGCCTTAGAACCCACATGGTTAAGAAGTTCACAGTATTATCTGTTGCTGACTCCTTTCCGTATTCCCAAACGATGGTGTTATATTGTGCTATGAGGAGGCATAGGACTCACAGCCTATGGCGATGGCGGGTGTGACTAGCAGGACCCGCCCATGTTGAGAAAAGTTTATAGAATTATATTCTTTAAAAGATATACATCACTTTTGTTTCAGGTGTGTGATCTGCATGAATGAGTTTATGTTTGGCGAACAGCTCCGATACCTTCCATGTATGCACACCTATCACAAAGAGTGCATCGATGACTGGCTGATGCGGTCTTTTACTTGCCCAAGTTGTATGGAGCCGGTAGATGCTGCACTTCTAACCACATACCAGACAAGTTGATCTCATAGCTTAATTCCTGTTTAGAGGACCACTTATGTCCAGATACTTTTACAAAATCAAAGCTTTCTTGTACATATAGTCAAGTGAACATAATCAAAGGCTTTGTCTTGTTACAAGTAGCAAGACTTCTATAGAGAAAAAAAACTGCCTTTTTAGCAATCTAGCTATATGAGTAGATCCTGTTGCAATTTTTTTTTTAAATAAATGGTAATGTTTTACTTGTGTCTTGTATATTGTACATAAAACAAATGTAACAGATCATTTTCATTTGAAGGTCATACGCAGTGTAGTGCTGTACCTTGGTCCTGACTCCTTAGCCATGAAGCATCATATATTTTATAAATTATTCGATATTTAGGAAAGAATTAATGCAACAAGATGAGTCAGATCTGCATACAAGAAGCAAAATAAATTATATTTTTAATTATGTGTGAATTATGTATGATAATTATGTGGATGTGCTGCGTGAGTTTTATCGACATTGTGTGTCATTCTCATTGTTTCAGCCTTTTTGTGGGTGTGTGGGATGCAACAGCCAGGTTTTTTGTTGTTGCTGTTCTCGAGTGTTTGTTTTAGTTTTAGCTGGTGAAATGATTCGTCTTCACCTTCGTGTGATGGAATTCTTCTTTTATACATTGTTAAGTTTATTAAAATTTTGATGGAACAGATAAAATATTTTTATGCAATGTTAATTGAATATGATTTTGTTTTGTTATGTAAGAAATGAAAGCTTGTTTTTGTGAATGATATATTATAGTAAGTTAGTGTGTGAGGAGTGAATACCCCTTTTTTATTGTTGTAAGTTTGCATTATTTTTGTCATTGGGGGAGGGATGTGCTTTCATAGCAGGTAAATTTAAGAGAAATACTAGTTACACTACTTTTGTAGTTAACAGTGAACATGGACGTTCACTGCAATAAAAGTGTAACATTCATAAGAAGCAAAGCACTAATTATATATATATATGTATATATATATATATATATAATATATATATATATATATATATATTATATATATATATATATATATATATATATATATATATATATATATATATATATATATATATATATATATATATTTTGTGTGTGTGTGTGAAAGGGAGGGAGGATGTTTGTGATTTCACTAGGCAAGTTTACATTCATTAGTTTTTCACTGCTTGTTGAACGGTTGGCTCTTGATACACTAACACAAGTCAGTCTGCTGCAAATTACCTGCAGCTGGGAATTGAACCCAGCACCACGGAATTATAAAGCATTTTGTATAAGTCATTAAAAACCCTAATCTGCACAGAGCCTGCTGCTGGCTTCTAAAGGCCTAACCCTTGATGAGTAAGAAGCTGAATACGCGACGGGAGGTTAAACAGTTGTGAGCCGGATGTGACGATTCCATGTGTGAACCCAGTACTTGAGCAACATTCAGCCACATTCAACCTGCTGTTGAATGTTTGATTTGATTTGATTCAAAAACCAACATCACACCACTCGGGGCATTCCCATAAGCACTCTGTCCTCATCTTCAGCAGCCAAGCGAAGAGTTCCGATATTAAAGATGCCAGTACCATTCTGATTAAATGTCCGTCTTGCCTTTCCTTTGAGCTTCGAGCATCTGCCCGAACCTCTCGTCACTCCCCCTGCATCAATCTCACCAGACTGGTGATCAATCTGCTCCTCCGAACTGTGCTGTTGGTAGTTGAGCAGTGTGTATTGTTTCTGCATTTATGGAGACCTTTGGATAGCAGGGAATGCTCATCTTCTACGCCTGTCTTCCCATGAATGCTGACCGGTATTACATGGCTGCTCTGGACCAACGTGACGGGTGGCACCACCCGTGGACTAGGAAACAAAAATAACCACACAGCAGTGAGACTGCAGTGTTCCACGAAACTACCCGGGAAGGCTAATCTAAGCAGCAAATACCACACATGTGTCAGCCGAAAGGCACAAATATTGAGCCACATTGTAAACAGGCTTAACACATTGATGCTCTCAGATGAACGAAGAAGAAAAAGTACAATCATAGTTTGAAAACTTGAGGGAACAGCTTGATACATTACCGTCATATTTTGCAAATGTCATAAAACTGCTGCTTTGATGATGTCATAGTTTGCAAATTTGAAAGAATTGCTTGTTATGGAAATGTCATAGTTTTTAGGTGTTAAAAAATTGCTTGGTATGATAATGTCTTGGTTTGTAAATGTAAAAGAACTGCTTGTTATGATGTCATGGGTTGTAAATGTAAGAGAGCTGCTTGTTATGGTGATGTCATAGTTTGTAAATGTGACATGTGAGAGAACTGCTTGTTATGGTAATGTCAGTTTGTAAATGTGAGAGAACTGCTTGCTATAACAATATCATAGTTTATAAATGTGAAAGAATTGCTTGTAATGATAATGTCATAGTAATAAATGTTAAATAATTGCTTGTTATGATAATGTCATAGTTTGTAAATGTGAAAGATATGCTTGCTATGATAATGTCATGGCTGGTAAATGTGTGAGAGCTGCTTATGAACATATCTTTGTAAATGTGAAAGAATTGCTTGTTAGGATACTGTCATGGTTTGTAAATGTCAAAGAACTGCTTGTTATGAAAATGTCGTAGTTTGTAAATGCGAGAGTACTGCTTGTAATGATAATGTCATGGTTTGTAAATGTGAGAGAACTGCTTGTTATGATAATGTCATGGTTTGTACATGTAAGAGAACTGTTTATTATGACAATGCCATGGTTTGTAAATGTAAGAGAACTGCTTGTTATGATAATGTCATAATTTGTAAATGTGAGAAAAATGCTTATTATGATAATGTCATGTGTAATAATGTCATAACTTGTAAATGTAAGAGAACTGCTTGTTGTGAAAATATCTTAGTTTGTAAATGTGAGAGAACTGCTTGTTATAAAAATTGTCATAGTTTATAAATATTAAATAATTGTTGTGACTGCATAGTTTGTAAAGGTGAGAGAACTGCTTGTTATGTATATGTCAGGGTTTGTAAATGTAAGAGAACTGCTTGTTATGATGATGTCATGGTTTGTAAATGTAAGAGAACTGCTTGTTATGGTCAGTTGAGTTAAGAATTGACATCACAGCACTCGGGGCATTCCCATGCATGCTCCGTCCTCATCTTCAGCAGCCAGCACAGAGTTCTGCTTGTTATGATAATGTTATGATAATGTCATAATCTGTAAATGTAAAAGAACTGCTTTTATGATGTCATAGTTTTGTAAATGTAAGAGAACTGCTTGTTATGATAATGTCATAGTTTTGTAAATGTGAAAGAACTGCTTGTTTTGATAATGTCATAGTTTATAACTGTGAGAGAGCTGCTTGTAATGCCAATGTCATAGTCTGTAAATGTGAAAAAAATTGCTGGTTATAATACTATCATAGTTTACAAATGTGAGGTAACTGGTTGTTCTGACATAATCTTGTGTAAATTTGCGAGAACTTTTTAGGATACTAATCTGTCAGAGTTTGCAAACGTGGAAGCAGTGTGACCTGATAATAGTAATCAAATGGTAGATACTGCTCTATGTATTTTGTTTATGTGCTGTCATGTTAAAGACAAACAATGTTGCGTAAGATAATGGCATCAGTAATAGTCAGTACAGGTAATCGGGGACTATGGTTTTGTCATGCTAAGTCTGCCAGCTGGTCTAGACAGCATCTGGCTTCAGTTTCCGTTTGAAGCACGTTTCTTGCTTAACTCTTAGATCTGCTGCAGTCTGAAAATGGGCACCCGATTTTTCTTTACGACAGAAATGTCCTTAATAAAAGGAGAGTTGGTAATCACCCAATCGCACAATAGTGGTGTGTGAGCTAGTATATACAAAGTACTGCTAGTTTGCACTCATATGAATGTATTTGGCAAAAGGGGGGGGGGGGAATTACTTTTGTGTTATTATCAATGACTATTTAAGGAATCCCATTGCTTTCACAGGGCAAACACAAAGAGAGAGAGAAAGAGGGGCAAGGGGGGGGGGGGGGGGACATGTGCACAGCAATATTATTTACATTATATGTGTATGTGATTATGCATTATAATTTTATACTTCTTTGAACTAGGCCATTTGATGTGTATTTGTGTGTACAAGCAAGAGTGTATGAGTAAACAAGTGTTAATTTGTATATTGTGTTGTTTTAATTTCCTTATTTCTATTTTCTTGTCTGTCTGTCTGTCTGCCTGCCTGTCTGTCTGTCTGTCTGTCTGTCTGTCTGTCTGTCTGTCTCTGTCTCTCTCTCTCACACACACATATACTGTTGCAACCTCTTTATAAGATATAATGCCATTGAAATAATGTACAGTGAAATTATGTGTAAATGCAGTAGATGCCTTAAAGACAATAGTCACCTGAAAGTCCCGCTGGCTTGCATTGATTGTTTACAGATTCACACCAGACTCTTAAAACTTCCTGTTGGATCTGATTTTTCAACCAACTACACACAAATAAGCCAGTAAAGCGGATGTACACGCAAATCTCAGGCCCTGACACAAAGCCAAAGTCCCAATGGACAGACAACCAGGACTTTCTACTTACTGCCAGTTTCTGCCTTTATTGTACCACTTTTGCGGTGTAGGCAGGGGGTCTTTTACAGCCTGAGGATTTACGGCTACATGGACTAGTGCTGTCACCAGCCAAAGTTTACTGCACATGAATAAAGAAAAACAACATTTAAGTGGAATAAATTTACACATATTCAAGCACAAAAACCTACATTTATTAATAATTTTACCTTTCTTTGTAGCATTAGTGTGAATATTTATTCTTTTTAAAAAAAAAATCCATTTGTTACTTTATAATTGAATATGTCAAATAAAATCAGTCTGGCTGGCTAAGGATATTAACTGAGGCCTATTTTTGTAACAGGGCTTATATTTAAGCAACCTGAACAATCATGCTGGGATTTATATTCTATTAGGTCTTATTTTCAGGGAAATAATGCAATACTCGGGGACATCCATAATTGATTCAGAAAGCACATGATGAAACCACA